GAGTATCTGATTGTCTAATTGATGCACGTGAAATTCAGATACACAGTCTTCAGAAGGAACCATTCTGACCCAATGTTATAATAGTATAATGGATCTATATAATGGCCTAATAGTGCTCTGATAGCAAGAACAAACAAACCTTCCACCGAAAGTGATTAACTTGTTTTATTTAACTCAGAGCAAGCTTATTATGCAGGAAGTTTTTCTTTGGCAAGAAATAAGTATAATTATTTTAATTCTGCAATGCCACAGGAGGAAGAACTCGAGACATGCTGGCCAGAAATGAACTGTAAGGTAAAGGGATGGCAATGAGAGAGATGCAGGGTGGGAGTAGAGAAGGTAGGGAAGAATGCTGTCTTGAAATTCTTGCAGAACCATCATCTCGCATAGAAGAGTTTGGCTCATTTCTGTGAAGTTCTAGAAGCAAAAACAAGGACAACCATTTGAAAGCCACAGAAATTCTAGGTCAATTTGAGGCACAATTTTCTGTCGATTAGAGTGCTGAAAATGAAATTTAACATAGAATTGTGTTTTAAATAAAGTGTGTGCATGGTGCTAGTTAAAGAAAGAATGCTACATACATAGGAATACGTGTACAAAACCCTCTTATAAAAATGCATAGAGGTTTAACAATGGTTGCCAGAGGGAGAGGGACAACAGAAGTCGGATGGAGAATTACCCTGCTCAGCATACCCTTTTGTTCTGCTTGTGTTTTAATATATAATAAAATGAAAGTGAGAGGAATGCCCTAACAATTTTTCTGACATTGATGGTGCATGAGCAGTCTTGTCAACCAGTTGCTAAGAATGCTTTAAAAGGAATTCCTGCTTTGGGTAAGGACCGGCTCCTGGCAGTATCGCTAAGATAATGTAGAGAGGCTATGAATACGTTGGGTGAAGGTAGATGAGGCCGGAGAGCCAGGGAAAGTGGGGAGGCTTTGACCCACCCAATTTCCTTCCAGATTCCTGGAGAGAAGGGGAGGGGCATTAGCTTCTTAGATGCACAGCGCAGAACCAGCAGTGGTTGTCAGAGGCAGAGAGAAGCCTGCAATCCTGTCTTGTTTTTCTCCTTATGCTTTCCTCCTTGTGTATTTAATCCCTCTTTTAGTTTCAAATCACCACAGCAGCAGATATTATCACCAACCATTATCCCTGTACTGGGGTAGCTGTCAACCTGGGAGAGAAATAGGATCGACTCTAGGGAAATGCCTGGGCTTTGTTTCTGGAGGCTGTAATTGCCTCTGTCAGGAGAGGGATAGAATTCCGCCGGCCTCTCTGCCCATAGAAACCAGTGTGAGATTCTCTTCCCTTGCGTCCCTCCGGGAAGGCCTCCGGCTGGCTCTGCACAGGAAGGAAGTTAAAGCAGACCGCCTTCATTCCAGGGTCTCACTGGGTCCTTCCAGGGGCCACTGCCTACCTAAGCCTGCTGACCTAACCCCCCCACCCAGGCACCGAGGCCTGCTGACTGCCAATGCCATCCTACCTCCTTAGCTTGTGTCCACTTTGATTTATGGCAGCGGCCCAGGCTTTGACTGATGTATTTAGTGTTGACCCCTGACTTGGCGATACTCTTTTTGATGAGGTCATCTGCCCTGCTGGCACCTTCAACCATGTGCCACCTATACCCTTGGTGCAACATATGGTCTGTACAAGTCCAGGTCGTTGAGGAAGTAAAAAGCGAGCTCTGTCCTACTCAGTAAACTACCTGATTACTAATGCTTTGCACAAAGAGAAATGTGCTTCAGGGAACACATAATACATAAATGTTGAAAATGTGATTGCTTTTTAAAAGGGAGAGTGTCTGCCCAACCTAATTTGGGAAATGCTTCTTTTGTCTCCATTGTTCAGGTTAGCTATACAGCTAGTGGATTAACCAGATCTTGTCCTTTATTTTGTTTAGCCATCTGCCTTGCTTCTCAGTTATTTTTAGAAAGTGCTTTAATAGCATTTTCACCAATGAGTAAAGAAACAGAAAATGACACTGAATCATAAAGAAAAATGTATTTTTTTTTTTTTTGTATTAGCTTATCTGGTAAGAATAAGATGTTAATAAGGATTGAATTAGATGTCTTCTGAAAATGGCAGACTAGATAATGGGGAACAGCCTTTTCACTGAGAACATTTAGAAAACCTGCACAAAATATAAGAATAATTTGTTCGAAGGCATTGAAGGCTCTAACAACACAGTAAGGAATTTCAGGGCTGAGGTCTACAACTCTTTTTTTTTTTTTTTTTCAGCTGAGCCAGCAGCTCAGTTGAGCTCAGCTCAGCCGGGAATCAATCTGCTGTTGCTCAGAGATCACACTCTTGAGTGAGCTCTTAACCAACTGAGCCACTCGGCTGGCCCAGGGCTGAGGTCTAGATGAGAATTAAACCCAAGGAGGTACATCCAGCTTTAGGTCTACTGTTCTCCCATGGCCTCTGCCAATTCCTAAAAAAGCAACTGAAAGATTGAGAAGCTGAGCAGATACTTTGACAGCCATGTTAGAGGGACTTACAATGAGGGGGAACTATGAAAAAACAAAACAAAACCCACACTCTGGGGTGGGAAACTCAAGGGCTAGACCTTAGGAGTAAGGATGACCTGAAGCCCAGCTTCCAATCGTCTTAAGGCCTACGAGGATTGACAATTAGGTTCGCAAACTTGTTGCAATGATGTTGCTAATCTTTTATTTATTTATTTTTATATCAGACAGATTATTCATTATGAATTTGTACCAACTGGACAAAAAGTGAACCAAGGTTTCTATTTGGAAGCGCTGAAAAGGCTGCGTGGAAAAGTTAAACGACCTGAATTTTTCCCCAACAATTCACAGCTCTTGCATCATGACAATGCGCCAGCTCACACAGCACTGTCTGTGAGGGAGTTTTTAGCCAGCAAACAAATAACTGTATCGGTACACCCTCCCTACTCACCTGATCTGGCCCCCAATGACTTCTTTCTTTACCTGGAGATAAAGGAAATATTGAAAGGAAGACATTTTTGATGACATTCAGGACATCAAGGGTAATACGACAACAGCTCTGATGGCCATTCCAGAAAAAGAGTTCCAAAGTTGCTTTGAAGGATGGACTAGGCACTGGCATAGGTGCCTAGCTTCCCAAGGGGAGTGCTTCGAAGGTGACCTACTGATATTCAGCAATGAAGTAGGTAGCACTTTTCCTAGGATGAGTTCACTAATGTACTTGTCAGACCTTGTATATTGGAGTAACCTTGTCTGGGATTGCTAGTGGCCCTAACTACCTGCCAAAAGCAAATGTAAATAAATCTTCTCTAGCAAAAGAGAGCATTATACTAGATTCAAATTATTTCTGCAATTATTAATATACAATGTCTTGTACACAATAAAAAATAAGTAGGCTTATGAGGAGCCAAATCAGTTGAAACCTGGAGCGACAATAGAAATAGACACATAAGGGATCAAAGTAATGGAGTTCCTACTCAGATATGTAAAAATAACTATGCCGAATATGTTCCAAGCGATTGAAGATTCTAGAACTCAGCAGAGAACTGAAAATCATAAAATAGAACTAAATGCAAATGATAGGATTAAAAATATAACCAGAATTAAGAACTCAATATATGGGACAGTGCCAACCTCAGTTTTGCTTGATTAAACAATAGGTACACCAGTTGGAAAGAGATTTAAAAAAAACCCAAAACGATTCCAGTAAATCACTTACTACGTTGTAAACTCCATTCAGGCATGTCTCTTATTTTTTGTTGTATTCCCAGAACTTGGCACAAGTCCTGGCAGGTAGTAAATACTCGATATTCATCCAGCTTTCTATTGGGTCGTCGGAAAAGTCATGGCGTATTTTTTCTGTTTTTCGTTGCAAAAATGCATCATGACTTTTCTGACAACCCAATATCATGTATTGATTTAATTCTATATAGCCATCTCAATGAATGAACACTTGATAACCAATAGTAACGGAATTCTTCTACCTCCAAAAAGAACTTGATAAATGTGCAGACTTGGTATATTTTTAACATTCTTTTAAATTTAGCATACTTTTGCTTTTCTTGTTCAGAATTAACCATGAATCACATGCACAGCCAGCCAGAGGCTTTTAACCCAAGAATGGACAAAAAAGCCTGCTTGCTCAGTAAATGTTTTAATAGTAAAAAATAATAAATACATGCTGTTGGTTGTACCAAATAAAGACGAAATGAAGTATATAAGAAGAAAATACCATCACCAGCTGTCTCTCGGTCTCCTAGGAGACGGCGTCTGATGTCACCTGGGCGGGGGAGGCCCCACGCCCTACTGCGCATGCCCGCCGCCTCCCCGGCCGAAGGCGGGCGCAGCGCGCATGCTCGCCTGTGAGTCGGCGGCTCCCGGCTCCTGACTGGCTGACTGACCGCCCTGAGTGGCCCGGACGGCGCCGCCCGGGGTTCATGCCGCTGGTGGCGGGAAAGTTGAGCGCCTGGTGCGCGGCGCTTTCGGGACGATGTGTAGTGACCTCCACAGGGCTGAGTCTGGGACGGAGGTGAGAGCCGCCGGGGTGGGCGCGAGGGAGGCCTGGCGGGGCGCGGGAGGCCCCTCAGACGGCGGCCCGACGCGCGCGCTCCGAGGGGACACGCAGGAGGTCACGCCCGAGTCCGGGGCGCGGCCGCGCGCGCGGACGGGTGTGACGTGCCAGCCCCCTGCTCGCTGGCACCCTGGTGCAAACCCGGCCCGGCGGGGCGTGCGGCTCTGCCCTCCCCGCGGCCTGCACGTCCCCGCCGGGGGCAGCGCCCGCCCAGCCTGACGGTCTCCGTCTGAGGCCCTGCACGAGCTTGTTCAGGGCTGGGGCCAGCGAGGAGGAGGCGCTTGGGGCGCTACGGAAGGAGGCCGGCTCCGAGTGGGCCGTCCGGTAGGGGGCGGGCGGGCGCGCTGAGCGTCGAGGGCCGCTGGACGTCGGCTTGGCGCGGAGGGGCGGGCGCGCAGAGCAGAGGCGCAGGTCGCTGCTTGTGAGTTTCGTGGCCCGAGCTGGCGCCGAGCCCGTGAGGGAGGGCGGTGTGGGGAGGTGCGCTCTGGGGGTCGGTCGGCGATACTGGGGGGGCGGGGGCGAGCACGTGACGCTCCGGAGGGTCAGCGAGGCGAGGAAGCGGTCAGGCCGTGCAGGCCGCTCGGTCCCTAGACCCGGCTCTGCGATTCCAGCGTACACCAGTCCCGGAGACGCGAACGAAGGAAGATGTCCACCAGAGTTCCAGGGACACTGCCGTTCCGTGAACGCGTGGCTTCGGCCTGCTGGCCGGCGTGCCAAGCCCGGCTGCTCCCGACAAGCAGAACCACCGCTCCGCACGAGAGCCGCTTCAGCCTTCCTTACCGGAGTGGTCCTTCGAAACCCAGGTTAAACTCGGATGACGTGTGCAGCCGCAACGAGCCAGCGTTCCAGAAAGTGGGAGCCCAGCACAGTCACCTCCTTGCACAAAGAACTGAGCATCCTGCGCTTTGCCTGCCACGCCCACCTGGAGATCCTAAGGCAGATTGCCTCGGTCAGAGCACTTGGAGGACCCTGCGGTGGAGAGAAGAATAGGGTGCTGCTTTATTTTTTTTTCCTTTTTGTACCAAAGCCAACTAAGCAAGCCTCTGCTCCCTTAAGCGCTAGGCCCTGTATGGCCACTGCTTAATTTCTGTGCATACTATTGGGTTGTCAGAAAAGGCATGACGCATTTCTGCAACGAAAACATAAGAAAAACATACATCATGACTTTTTCCGACAACCCAATATTTTCTTTGCACTGCACATTAGTCGGCTTTATGGATTCCACGTGGAAGCGTTGTGTTGAGGAAGATATCTGAAGCCATAAACTATCCCAAGTAACTGAAATAAGCTACTGAAAACTTGATTTAATAGAATTGCCACCTTATAAAATAGTTAATCTTTTCTACATTTTTTTTTTTAAGATTTTTATTGGGAAATTGGGGAGGAGAACATTGTGTTTTTCCAGGATCCATCAGCTCCAAGTCAAGTTGTTGTCCTTCAATCTTAGTTATGGAGGGCGCAAGCTCAGCTCCAAGTCCAGCCGCTGCTTTCAATCTAGTTGCGGGGGTGGGGTGGGGGGCAGCATGTAGCCCGCCATCCCACATGGGTGTCGAACTGGCAACCTTGTTCTTAAGAGCAGGTGCTCTTACCAGCTCAGCCGCAGCTCAGCTCAGGTGTAGCTCACTGGCCCATGTGGGAATTGAACCGGCGACTCTGTTGCTCAGAGCTCACGCTCATAACCAACTGAGCCACTCTGCTGGCCCTCCCACGTCATTTGAATAGTAGGGGAAGGACATTTCACAGAGGGTCTTCCCAGAAAACAAAGCTGTGAACACTTTTAACAGATTCTAGGGGTGCAGTTTATGGTAGACCAGATAACGAGTAGAAAACTTAATGAGCCCTTTTATTTAAAGAAGACAAGCACTTGAATACAATTTACAGGAAAATAATATTTTTACCTTGCTTTTGCACAGTAGCAATGCCATTTTTTACATTTATATCCTTCTGAGAGTATAGAAAAGATTCAGTGACTTGGCAGAATCTTGGAATCATCCACCAAATGGCTTCTTTTGCATACAGTTGTTAAATAGTGGTGTGCTTTGCATTTTCTCAAAAATAGTAATATGCCTTGAGTTTAAAAATAAATGGTGGATGAAAAATTGAAGGTGTCCGGTTTTGGTTGCCACACACAACATACTGTCTGCTTTTTTGCCCCTTTAACTTTATTATATTATTAAAATAGTACATGCTTATAACAGAAAATTCCAATACCAAAGTGAAAAGTAGGAACCTTCCCGATTATCATTTCCCAAAGTATATTTGTACATTCTTCCAGAAATGTTCTAATGCCATAATTTTGGAGGCCAAGATGGAAAATTCTGGACTAGAAGCTCAAAGACCTTGATCCTCGTTTTGGCCTGCCATGGACAAGCTTTGTGATTTGGGATAAGTTATTAAACCTTGGCTTCTACTTTTCTCAATGGAGGGTGGTAGACAAATTTCTCAGCTGCTTCAGCTGTTCCTCTAGGAGGTGGGTTGTTATATTTGTATCCTTTCACTAAGAACTGTATTCTCTGCATAGTAAACACTTGATAAATATTAATAATAATTATTGGTTTTCCTTTTTTAGAAAAGGTGCAGGGTGGCCTTTTTGCCAGAGGCAAATATTAAATACAAGTGTGCAGTATTTATTAAATTATATTTTGGTTTTGTGTGGTATACTTTTAGTGTCTGTCCCGTTCTCTCTTTGCTTTCCTTCTCACCCAGAAAAGTATCGGTGCTGTATCATTACCATTACTCCATTATAAACACCATCAACTTTCTTGTCTCTTGACATCCGACACCTATTTTCCTAACCGTGGGTAAACCCAGCTGTCTAGTTTCACTGTCTCCAGCCACTCAGCTGGATATTACCGGAGAAAATCACAAGGCTGGCTGATTTCATTTTAAAGTTAGAACCATCAGCCTCAAATGGACACCCAGTCCAACTATATTTCCCTGGTAATTAGTTCACTTTCTCACCTCAAAACATGTGTCATCAAATCCAACCGTATTCCTGAATTCCAGACAAGTATTTCTATTGTCTCCCTGACCTGTCCACGTGGATGTCTGATGGGCATTCCAAACTTAGGCCATCGTTATCGAATCCTGGATCCAGGGCAAGTACAACAAAGAGTATGTGTTAAAGAAGAACCTTGTATGTATTCCTGTTAAATGTATTAGTGATCATTGTAATGAACTTGGGCAGGAGAAAATCATTTTGCTAAGGAAATAGAGTATATTAAAACATTTGAGGGGAAGTGGTTCAGCAAAAGTTACAGCAAATTTGGCAAAATGTTAGCAATAGGTGAATCTAGGTGAAGGTATACAGGTGTTCACTGTACTGTCTTGAAGTTTCTCTGTAGGTTTTAAATTTTTTCAAAAATTAAAAAATTGAGGAAAACTTGAACATGCCCCAAACTGAAGTCTTGATTTGCCACCACCCACGCACACCCCGACGCCCACCTTCCCTGTCTTGTGAAATGGGGACTTTGTCCTACCTGTTGGCTCAAGCCAGAAACCATAGTCATCTTTGAGTTCTTTTTCTCTCATATCCCATATGAACCCACATGCAGTTCATGAGCAAATTCTGTCTGCTAAACCGTCCATATATGTCGTGAATTTGCCCACTTTCCCTTTATAGCCATTCCGAGTCACCATCGCCTACTTCATTGCAATAACCTCCGAAGTGGGCTCCACTCTCATCCTTTCACACTCACCCTAGTATACTTTCTACATAGTATCCAGGGCGATCCATTTAAAACACAAGCCGACTCGACTGCTCAAAGGTTTCCAGAGGCTCCTGTGTCAATATAGTTCTATCCAGAATCCTTATTTCCTACAGTGATGCATGATTTGTAATTCGACATGATTTGCCCTTCAGCCCCACCCATAACCTCTGATCTCATCTCCTCTCCCACTCTCTCCCTCTCCTTACTCTTCATCCTCGGAGACTTCGCATCTCCTGTTCCCTCTGCCTAGATTGCTGTTCCCTCAGAAATTCACTTGGCTCCCTCCCTCACTTGCTTCAGGCTTCTGCTCGTATGTTAACGTGGAGAAGCCGTTCCTGACCCCCCAGTATAAGGCAGTCCTTCCTATTGCTAATCTGTATTCCTTTCCATGTTTATAGCAGCTGCCACACCTGACATTGTGCACTTTTACCTGGTGCCTCCCCCTGCCATTTAGGGACATGAGAGCAGACTCGGGGTTTTCTCCTTTGGTCCCGGTGTCCAGAGCAAGATTTAGCCCAGAAGAGGTGCTCCATAACTGTTTGTGTGGTGGGTGGAGTTCCTGCCTCCCTCCTTTCTTTCCCCTCTTCCCGCCTTACTTCATGTGTCGTTGAGAAAACAAGAAATTGGACAGGAATGCCCTTATTTTTTCCTGTTGTCTTTCTGTTATGATTTCTATTATAGTTTGTTTTCATTATAGCCAGACAGCATCCTCTGTGTGATTTCAGTTCTTATAAACGTTGAGGTTTGTTTTATGGCCCAGGATGTGATCTGTGTTGATAAATGTTCCATGGGCTCTTGAAAAAAAAATGCATATTCTGCTATTGTTGGCTGGGATGTTCTATTCTATACATGAGTTAGGTCCTCTTGATTGTGCAGTTCAGCTTGTCTAGATCCTGGATGCTTTTCTGTCCAGTAAATCTGTTGGTTGCTGAGAGGTGTGTGTTGAAGACCCAACTAACATTGTGGCTTTGTCTCTTTCTCCTTTCACCTGGATTAGTTTTGCTTCATATATTTTGAGGCCCTGTTTGTTAGGTACACATTTAGGATCATATGTCGTCCTGGTGGATTGATCCTTTTATCATTATGGAATGCCCTCTTCATCTCAAGTAATTTTCTTTGCTCCGAAATCCACTTTGTTGGATATTAATATAGCAACTCTTGGTTTTTCATCGTCTATATTGATAATAATGTACGAGTATGGACTGATTTTCTCTGAATTCCCTCCTGTAAAGTAAATTATTCTTGCTCGTAAAGAGGACAACGTCTCTACTAGGGATATGGATTCCATCCATCTCATTTTTCTTCATCAGGGACATCACTCCTGCAAATGTCCCTACCCCAACAGTCATTTCCTCCGTCTTTGCACCTTCCACCAGTATCGTAGAATAAAACAGTAAAAACAAAAGAAACCAACCAACCCTCCCTCCGCGTCACATCCCCCTCCAACCACACTCCTGTTCTCTTCAGCACCACAGGGCTGTGCCTTCCTCCGCCTGCACTTTCTTATCTCCCGTGCACCCCTTGGCCACTGTGACCTGGCTTCTGTCTCCACCAGTCCCTAAAAGTGCTCTTGTCAGGTTGTCAAGACCTTTCTGTGTCCGGATGTGGTGCTCAGCTCAGTCCCATGTCCTCCTCATACCAGACTTCTCCCAGTTGATCTGATAGCTCCTTAAAAACATTGTCCCTTAAAACATTTCCATCCCTCAGGCCCCTAAGGACCTGCCTCTGTCAAACGTAGGAACAGGGCACACTGTGTATTCCCTGCAGACAAGCTGGCAGGAGAGAGGAGTGAGCTGGTCAATGTGTGCTGAGCTCCTGCTCTTAAAATCGCCCGTTAGGAAAAGCTCTCCTGCCCTGGAGGAGAGGGGTCGAGGAGATGGAATGCTGTACGTGTTCACCCAGCACAGTCCCTCCACGCCCAGGGGGTTGAGGAAGCTTCGGTTCTCTGCTTTGTCATCTCTTCCTGGGATCTCGCATATAGTTGATTTTTCTGTCTAAATGAAAATTTAAAGCACAGTCTGATAGAACTTCCTAATGAAATCTTAAGTATTCGTTTAATGGAATTTATTGTGGAATGTGATAAGTTTAAAATTTTGTCCTTGTAAATTTTGCTAGAAATTAATGCTGCTTAAACAGTCAGGTATATGTGGTAATTTTTGCTTGACTTTTTATATATTTATCTTTCCTTCCTTTAGATAAATGACTGCTTTTAAAAAACATTGATTGTAAAAGCAGCAGCCTGTCCGAGAGTATACTTAGAAACAATGGAATTTCACAACTT